ACTCGATGGCACCTAACAACAGCAACAGATTTCTAAGGATCACCAGAACCAATTGGACTTCAACTGGCAAGGCCAACACTTTCAGTCTTATATCAGGGTACATCTACTCTCAGGCACTATGTAATAATTTAGTCCACAGGGACTTTGATCAATTTTCCCTGCCCCAAGTCATCATTGTTCCATTACATTGATAGCATTATGCTTATTGGTCCTAGTAAGAAATAATTACCAATGACTCTAGACTTATTTGTAAAACATCTGCATGCTAGAGTGTGGTAAATTAACATAACAAATATCCAGGCACCTTCTGGCTCAGTGAAATTTCTAGGGGTTCTGTGATGTGGGCCATGTAGAGATATTCCTACTAAAACAAAGGACAAGTTATTGCATTTGGCTACTTCCACAACTAAAAAAGTGGCATAATGTCTGGTAGGCCCCTTTGGATCTTGGAGGCAATATATTCCTCATTTGGGTGTGCTACTCTGACCTATTTATCAAATGAGTAGAAAAGCTGCTAATTTTGAGTGGGGCCCATAACAAGAGAAGGCTCCGCAAAAGGTTCAAACTTCTGGGCAAGCAACTCTGCCACTTGGACCATATAATCCAGCAGAGCCAATGTACGTGAAGTGTCAGTGGCAGATTAAGATGCAGTTTGGAGTCTTTGGCAGGCCCCTGTTGGTGAATAATGGGACAGCTCATAGGATTTTGGAACAAAACATTTCCATCCTCTGCAGATAACTACTCCCCTTTTGAGAAACAGGTTTTGGCTTGTTACTGGCCCTTAGTGGAGACTGGATACATAATCATGGACCACCAAGTCACCATGTGACTGAAGCTACTCATCATGATCTGGACTTGTTTGACCTACAGTGCCATAGAGTTGGATGTGCACAGCAGGACTCCATCATTAAATGGAAATGGCATATATTAGACCAGGCTTGAGCAAGACCTGAAGACATGAACAAGTTGCATGAGGAAGTGGACCAAATGCCCGTGGTCCCCACTCCTGTTACATTACTTTCCCTTTTCCAGTATATAACTATGGCCTCATGAGGAGTTCCTTATCAGTTGCTGGAGGAAAATAAAACTCATGCTTGGTTTTCAAATGGTTCTGTATTATATGCAGGCATAACCTGAAAGCGGACAGCAGCAGCACTAACCCCTTTATGGACACCTACCCTGAAGGACAGTGATTAAGGGAAATCCTCCCAATGGGCAGGACTTTGAGCAATGCATATGGTTGTTTATTTACTGGGTCAAAGTAATACATGAACCATATTTTATTGGAAAAAAATAGCTGTAGTACAAATTTTTTAGCACAGGAGAAATGGACAGTTGTGCAACTATATACTGATTAATGGGCTGTTTCCAATGATTTGGCTGGATGGTTGGGGATTTAGAAGGAACATGATTGGAAAATTGGTGACAAGGAGGTATGGGTATGAAATATTGGGACAGAATTCTCTGAATGGGCCAAAAAAGTGAAGATATTTGTGTCTCATGTGAATGTATATCGAAGGGTTACCTTGGAAGATTTAAACAACCAAGTGGACAGGATGACACATTCTGTTGAAACTAATAATGTTCTTTTTCCAGCCACTCCTGCCATTGCCCAATGTGCTAATGAAAAGTGGCCATGGTAGCAGGGATGGAGGTGGACTCAGCTGCATGTACTTCCACTCACAAAGGCTGACTTGGCTACAGCCACTGCTGAGTGCCCAATCTGCCAACATCAGAAACCAATACTGAGTCCCAGGTATGAGAAATTTATTTGTGGAGATCAACTAGCTACCCCATGGCAGACTGATTACTTCAGACCACTTCCATCATGGAAAGGGCAGTGTTTTGTTCTTACAGGAATAGATACTTACTCTGGATATGGATTTGCCTTCCCTGCACAAAACACTTCTGCCAAAACTACCATCCGTGGTCTTATAGTGTTGAGGACTGCAAGTACTGAGATGCTGAGGACCGGTGTCATGGACGAAAATCCAACACGATGGCCGCTCTCAGGCTTGCTAGCCAGGGACCCTGAGGGCCCAAGGAAGTAACCTCTTCCTGGGTTCATTGGCTTTTACGAACTCACTGTTGGGCTAGCTCTGTATATTATTCATAGAATGAATAATTTGGTCTTATTCATTCTATGCTTCGAACTCCAGTAATTGTAGCTTCTGAGAAAATGGTTTCTTATGTGCCTCTCTTAATGTCTCCACTGTGTTGGCAGTGCTTAACGTCCTGGGAACAAAGTCTCTCTGAGGAACAAACACTGGCTACCTGGCAAGCACGTTCAAACTGTTCTTTATCAAGTTATTCAGTTATGTTTGATATTAACTTAATACATGAACCCTTGATACACATGGACAAATATTAAAACAAAAACTTCTTCTAAAGCCAAGGCCTAAAAGTTCCTAGGGCAAATTTGCTGGGAGACGCTGGAGAAAAATTCCCCTAAGGAATTCACCCAAAGTAGATTGGTGGCTTCCGGGGTTTTGTTCAAAGAATAATGGTTGTCAGCCTTCTCAGATGTCCCCAGGTGCAGACCATTAACATAGGCATCCTGCTTCCTCCTGCAAGCCTGGGCCAGGTAGCTGAAACAGCTGGATTCCTTTCAGACCTTTTGAATCCTTTTCTCACTGAAGATTAGGTGCTATAGGTATGTTAATTAGGCTTGAGAAACCTCGAGTTGCTGTTTTGGGATTCGAACCTAGAAAGTACTATATAACAATTTGCTTGAATTTCTAGAAAATTAAGGATGTTAGATTATCAAGACAATTTGTGATGTATGCTTTAGAATTTGTTCTTATAAATCATTGTGTCCTGTTTTCAACAATTAATCACATTTCACTTCTGTACCCTGTCTTAATAATCCCTGCCTTCCTTTGTGTAAAGCTCCTCCCTGAAATAAAAAGGAGGCGCAGACTGAAGCCCGCATACGTTACGGCTTGCAGGGCATGCATTACGGGCAGGCATTGCAGTTGGTAAGGTGTGCATACTGCTTGCACAGCCATGAGGTTTACAATTCAGGATCTGTCTGATGCCAGTGTCGCATCCACTCTGGTCTTGGGGTTTCTTCTTGTCTCTCTTGTTGCGTCGTTGTGTGTATTCTTTCTCTATCTCTGTCACCACCAGATCTCCCAAATTTGTGAACCAAACTCTCATGTCAAGGCCGATTCTCGACATTATAGAATGTCTTATCTATCATCATGGTATCCCACACTGCATTGCCTTATGTCAAGGGACCCACTTCACAGAAAATGAAGTGTGGCAATGGGCCCATGCTCATGGAATTCACTGGTCTTAGCATATTCATCATCATCCTAAAGCAACTGGCTTAAGTGAACAATGGAATGCCCTTCTAAAGGCATATTTATGTCACCAACTAAATGGCAGTACATTGTAAGGTTGGGGGCAATGTTTTTCAGTAGGCTGTATATGCTCTAAACCAGCTTCCAATTGCTGTTTCTCCAATTGCCAGGATCTGTGGGTCTAGGAACCAAGGCATGGGAATGGGAATGTCACTATTCACTATTACTTCTGGTAACCCACTTGAAAAAATTTTGGTTTCTGTCCCTGAAATTCTATGCTTTTTGGGTCTGGATGTTTTAGTTCTGAAAGGAGGAATTCTCTCACCTGTAGACATAGCACTGATTCCATTGACTTGGAAGTTAAGAATGCCCACTGGGCATTTTGCACTCCTCATGCCTTTGGAATAACAGGCAAAGAAGGGAGTTATTGTTTTGGGTGGTGTGACTAAGTCTGATCACCAAGTAAAAATTTGGCTTGCCATTATATAATGGAGGTAAAGAAAAAAGTATATGAGGCATCCAGGAGATTCCTTAGGGCGTCTTTTAGTACTACTGTGTCCAGTGATAAAAGTCAATGGTGAATTATAGCAACCCAAAGCCAACATGAAGACTAATAGCCTAGACTCTTCAGGAATGAAGGCTTGGATCATACCACTAGGCAAAGAACCATGGCCAGTTCAGGTGCTTGCTGAGGACAAAAATAATATGGAATGGGTAGTTGAAGAGGTAGTTCTAAATACCAACTATAAGGGTTGGAATTGTTATGAATATATATATATATATAGTTTTATGTGTGTGCATAAAATATTTTTGATTTGTTCATTTGTGAAATATAAGATGTAAATGGGGACAGTGTGGTTTTTGTCATAACATGTTAGCATGTTAGGCACATGCTAGTATGACTTTGCAATTTACTTAGAGATTATGCGTATGTTGCCAGATTGACAAGGCTTGGATTGTGACTATTATGCATTTGAAAGTACATTTTGTATGTAGTTAGTCAATAAAAAAAGAATAAAAATTTAACAGGCTTTACATCTAGTGGGTCAAAGTAATACGTAAACCATACTTAACTGGAAAAAAATAACTGTATTATAAAATATTGTTTCCATCATATAAATGCATAGCAATTTTACTTCCTTAAACTTTTTCCTCTTTTTACCTGTTGCTGTTGCTATAGTTGCATTGACACAATCATGTCTGTGTTTTCTATAACTATAGTTACTATTTATATTTTTAATCCATAGAAACATTTTTAGGACTGATTATGTCTCTGGTAGCATAGTAGCTACGAATAGGGCTGCTAACCTCAGGGTCAGCAGTTCGAAACTACCAGCTATTCTGCAGGAGAAAGATGAGGCTTTCTGCTCCCATCAAGATTTACAGCTTTTGAAACCCTGTACAGGGTTGCTATGAGTCAGAACCGATCCATGGCACATTACCACCATATAGAATAAGTTATATAATAGCAAGTGAATAATACCATAAATATTTCTAGTCTAGATAGATCTATAATTAGAGAAATTAAATAATTTGACAAAGATACACAGTACATTAGTGTTCTGCTTTAAACTTAGGCTTATCCAAAATCAGTATTATCATCTGTCCATTAATCTCACAGAACTAGAAAATATAATTACTAGAAATTTCAATTACTGTGTGCCACATTGTAAACTAGTGCTATATACTAAATGTTTATAGATTTTCTTCTAGCCAACTAATATACTTATCTTTTAGTGTAATTCCTAGATATAAATAGAACAGTGACCCCATGTAAACTATTGCTGCATGGATTCTATCCTCTATATGGTCATGAACAACTTGAACTCCAACATTTTGAAGTCGTGTGACATACGTAAGTTCATGATCTCTTAGAATATCATGTTGGCAGGTAAGGATATAAGTTAATGGCAAATTTTGTAGCTGGGTGTCATTGGCCAATAAGGGTGATAACATGATATCTGTAAGTCCTGCATATGATGGGTCAAATCTTCCAGTAAGTGGTTCTGTATAAACATTGTTCTTTTTAAATTGTTCAGGTAGGAAGATACTCCAGTTAACCAACCTGAAGAGATGTCTTGATCCTTGAGGCATATGTTGGTTTGTTCTAAATATTTTGGGACATACTTCATCTGTAGTCAAATATTTACATCCCATTTTAATTGCCATTTCCATTGATAGTAATGGACCATGTTCATTTTCTTTGGTAGATGGTGTGGTGACATCAACTGTCTGTAAATAAGGGTATATTAAAGCTTGTGTCTTAATTTTATTTTTCATTTCTGGAATGTTTATCATCTAAAAAATATATAAAAATAAGTGAGTCATTCAAAATCTTCTAAAGTTCTATAGGGACAAAAGTTTTATTTCCATCTACGTGCAGTTACAAAGCAATGAAGTTATATGAATTGAATCATTAATATATTTTGCTGAACTATGCCATACAATGATATCAGATCATAATATCTGGAATTGAGAAATGTTATTTATTTGGTAAAATAGTATTTACAGATGTTAAGAATATTTAGATGTGAGGGTTTTCCCACCTTATCTGGGTGGACCCTAAGTGTGACCATGTGCTTCTTTTTAAGAGGGAAGTATGGGAGATTTGACAAACATATGGAGGAAAAGGCAATATCAAGTTGGAGACAGAGTCTGCAGTAATGCAGTCAGAAACCAAAAAAATGTCAATGAATGCTTGCAGCCACCAGAAGCTAGAAGAAAGAAGGGATAGATTTTCTCTCTAGATCCTCCAAATAAAAGAGATCAAGCACTCAATGAATCTTCTTGACTTAAAGGGGCATTTAGAGTAGTAGCTTCCATAGACACAAATGTTTAATATTTAGCCTGGTCCAGAAAACCAGAATTAATACTGACTATGTCCTGAGTAGGAACTAATTACCTAATAAATAAGGTAAGCATATGCTTAGGGCATCAACAAAACAGGGTCAACAGCTGTCAATGCAAATACTCATAAATGCCAAGAATACTGAATACAAAATAAGATCAAGAACTGCAATGGATGGGAAATGGCAAGGCACTAAATGAAATTGACACCAGGGCATCTGCAAATAAAGTTCACACATGGTCACAACAGGACCCACCCACAAGGCTATTAACTCTATGAGGCCCATACCATTTTAACTCCTTTGTTAATGTCTTTCCTCTATAGACCCCTCCCTTGTAAATAAAACTCATGATCTCAGTAGTTCTCTTGGGAGTATACTATTTCTTTCTAATCAACAAGAAGTGAAGATAGGCGTGCTAGTCTAACTTTTGCTACATTTACAAATGATGAACTCTGAATCCAACATGAACAATTACTGAGGAAGGATAAATCATATTAATAGATAACACATCTCTGATCCATTCTGGGAAGACTGCCTTGAGTAATCATATCTGCTTATCTCCTTCCATGAAGGCCAGCAATACTCTTTGCCATGAGACAAATGCAAGGTTATGATTTTGTGTATGTACTGGTAAAAAAAAAACAACAACAACAAACAAACAGTAGGAACACTAGTCCCAGTTGACATTCAATAGAAAAGGAATTCAAATAAGTCAACTATTGCAATTGAATTAAGTTACTTTTGAACTGCATAATCTTTATGTACATAATCATGTCCTAAATTTTGTAAGAAATAATAACTTTAACTTTATAGTAACTTTGGAATATGTGAGGATGAAATCTAGTGTACATTTGGTGCAATATTAACATGGGAAATGGTTTTATAAACATTAACATAACAAAGCCACCACTCATCTGTCAGTTTGTGGTACTGTGGTGGCTTATGTGTGTTGCTGTGGTGGTGAAAGCTATATCACCAGTATTTTAAATACCAGCAGGTTTCAGCAGAACTTCCAGACTAAGAGACTAATAAGAAGGAGAGGCAGAGCACTTCTGAAGGATTAGACACTGAAAACCTGATGATTATCAGCAGAACATTGTCAGATAGAAGGCCAGAAGATCAAAACATCATGAATAGCACTAGAAAATTCTCTGAATATAGTGCCAGAAGAGTCCCTCAAGTTGGAAGGTGCTCAAAATATAACTGGAAAAGAGTTGCCTCCTAAAAGTAGAGTTGACCTTCAATATGTGGATAAAACAAAATTTTCTTCATTTGCTGATGGGGCACAACTCAAAATGAGAAGAAACAGCTGTAAACATCCATTAATAATTGGAACGTGAGGTGTATGAAGCATAAATCTGGGAAAATTAGAAATAGTCAAAAATAATTTGGAATGCATCAAAATTAATATCTTAGGCATTAGTGCACAGTAATGGAATTGTCCCTTAAGAATCTAACAATCATAGTTTACTATCTCTAAAATAATAAATTAAGAAGAATTTGTCAAAATCATTGTTAAAAAGAACATTTTGAGATCTATCTTGAAGTACAAGGTTGTCTACGATAGGACAATATTCATATGCTTATAAGGAAGATCAGTTCATATGAGATGAGTATTACTCAAATTTATGCAGCAATTACTAAACCCAGAGATGATGAAACTGAAGAACTGTACTAATTTCTTCAGTCTAAAAGTGATCACACATCCAATCAAGATGCAGTGATAATTACTGATAACTAGAATGAAAAAATCTGAAAACAAAAAGTTGGGAAATAAGGCCATGGTGATAGAAGTAATGCAGTAGGCTGCATGATAGAATTTTACAAGACCAATGACTTAGTGCTTACAAATACATTTTCAACAACATAAAAGGTGACTGAGAACATGGATCTCCCTAGATAGAATGCACAGAAATCAACTTCACTATACCTGTGGGAAGAGTTTTTATCATCAGTCAAAATAAAGACAGGAACTTACTGTGGAACACATCAGTTGTTCATATGAAAGTTCAGGATGAACCTGGAAAAAGTTAAAACAAGTCCTTGAGAGACAAAATACAACCTTGAGTTTCTATCACTTGAATTTAGAGAACATCTCAAGAACAGATTTAAGTCATTTGACACTAATGACTGAAGATCAGAGGAAGAAAGCAAAAGGTCATTTAAAAGACAGGGAAGAAAGGAAAAAAAAAAAAGGAAAGAAAGACCAAAATGGATGTAAAAGTAGACTATGAAGAATTGTTCCTGAACGTAGAGGAGCTAAAATGACTGAAGAAATGAGGAAGTAAAAGAGCTGGATAGAAAATTTCAAAAAGCAGCTATAGAAGATAAAGTCAAATATAATAAAAAGTGCCAAAACCTGGAGTTAGAAAACCAAATAGGAAGAGCATCCTCAGCATTTTTCAATTTGAAAAGCCTGATGAAAAAGTTCTAGTCTTGGGTTGCTATATTGAAGAATTCTATGGGCAAAATATTGAATGAAGTGGGAAATGTCAAAAGAAGATCGAAGGAATATAGAATCACTGTACTAAAAAAAAAAAAAAAAAAGTCAGTGCTCAATAAGTTCAGAAAGTAGTATATAATCAAGAACCGATAATATTGAAGAAAGAAGTTCAAGCTGCATTCCACTGAAGGCATTGGCAAAAAACAAGGCTTCAGAGTAGACAGAATGCAAATTGAAAAGTTTCAACAAGCCAATGCAGCACTACACTGAAGGTAATCACTCTTCCATACCAAGAAATTTGGAATATTTCCCCAGGTCCCTATCCAACCAATTGTAAAAGATCCATATTTGTGCCCATTGCAAAAAAAAAAAGTGATCCAGCAGTATGGAAATCATTGAATAATAATATCAATCTATTACATGAAAGTAAAATTTTGCTGAAGGTAAAACCAGATGCAACAGTACATCTACAAGCAGCTGCCAGAAATTCAAGCTGGATTCAGAAGAGGACTTGGGATGAGGAATATAATTGCTGACATCAGATGGATCAGATGGAAAGCAGAGACTACCAGAAGTTGGCCTTGTTTCCCAACTTTTTGTTTTCAAAATTTTCATTCCAGTCATCAATAACTATCACTGCATCTTGATTGGATGTGTGATCAATTTTAGACTGAATAAATTAGTAGGGTTCTTGTGCTTTATTGTGTTTACTTGTGCTTTACTGACTACATAAAGGCATTCAACTGTATAGATCATAATAAACTATGGATAATTCTGTGAAAAATAGGTCAAGGGAATGCTGAATAGTTTAATACAGGAAAGGTGTGTGCCATGGTTATCTTTTCACTGTACTTATTCAATCTCTATGCTGAGCAAATAATTTGAAAAGCTAGATTATATGAAGAAGAATGTGGCATCAGGAATGGAGGAAAACTCATTAAAAACCTGTGATGTATAGATGACACAAGCATACTGAAAGTGAGGAGGACTTAAAAACTTACTGATGAAGATCAAAGACAGTCTTCAGGATGAATTGCACCCCAATGCAAAGAAAACAAAACACATCACCACTGGACCAATAAATAACAATGAAAAATGAAGAAAAGACTGAAGTTGTTAAAGATGTCATTTTGCTAGGATCCACAATCAATGCTCATGGAAGCAGCATTCAAGAAATCAAACATATTGCATTAAGAATTTTTTTATTCAAAACCTCTTTAAAGTGTTAAAGAGGAAAGATGTCACTTTGATGAGCCAGATGTAGCTGACCCAAGATGTGGTGCTTTCAATTGCTCCCAAGTGAAAGTTGGACCATGAACAAAAAAAGACCACAGAAGAATCATTACATTTGAATTGTGATCTTGTTGAAGAATCTTGAATTTACCTTGGATTACCATAAAAACAAACAAATCTGTCTTGGAAGAAGTACCACCAGAATATTCCTTAGTAGCAAGGACTTCCTCTCTTGTGCTGGCAGATTGAAACACCAATCTTATGGTTCACAATCTATGACTTTTCCAATGAAGCCACCATACTCCCCTTAAAGGTAATGTTATTGTTGGTAAGCACTATCAAGTTAGTTCTGACTCATAGTGACTATGTATAGTGTTATCTTTTTAATATCTTCTATTATATATTATGAAGGAGTTTTGGTAATATAGTGGTTACGAATCGGGCTGCTAACCTCAGGGTCAGCAGTTCGAAACCATCAGCTGTTCTGTGGGAGAAAGATGAGGGTTTCTGCTCCCATAAAGATTTGCAGACTCAGAAACCCTGTACAGGGTTGCTGTGAGTTGGAACTGACTCCACAGCACATAACAACAACATTATATATTATGAGTCCTGGTGTGGTACTGTGGGATAAAGCACCTGCAAGGTTGGCAGTTCAAACTCACCAGTCAATACTTGGAAACCCTATATAGGGTTGCTGTGAGTCAGGACAGACTGGGTGGCACTTAAAAACAACAACATTATATATTAAAGGTAATTTGTTGTTGTTAAGTGCCCATCCAGTTGGATCTGACCCACAACAACCTTATGTACAACAGAACGAAACACCACTAGTTCCTGCACCATCCTCACAATTGCTGTTAACACTTGAGCCATTGCTGTTGCCATTGTGTCATTCTGTCTTATTGGGAGTCTCCCTTGTTTTCAATGACACTACATTTTACCAAACATGATGTCATTCTGCAGGGACTGGTCCCTCCTGACCAGACGTCTGAAGTGTAAGAGGTGCAGTCTGACCATCTTGGCTTCTAAGGATCATTTGGTTGTACTTCTTCCAACACAGATTTGTTAGTTCTTCTGGCAGTACATGGTACCTTTAATATTCTTCTTCAACACCATAACTAAAATATATTTGTTCTTCCTTATTCACTTTCCAACTTTCACATGCATACTGAGGCTATTGGAAATACCACAGCTTAGGTCAGGTGCACTTTATTTCTCGAACTGATATCTTTGCTCTTCAAAATTTTAAAGTGGTCTTGTGCATCAAATTTGCCTTATGCAGTAAGTCATTTGATTTTTTGACTGTGCCTCCATGAGTGTTGATGGTGGATACAAGCAACATGAAATCTTTGACAACTTCAATCTTTTCTCCATTTACCTTGGTATAGTTTATTGGTCCAGTGGTGACTAATTATGTTTTCTTTACATTGAGGTGCAACCTACACAAAAGGCTGTGGTCTTTGATCTTCATCAGGACTTGAAGTCCTCTTCACTTCCAGCAAACAAAGTTGTATCATCTGTATATCACAGATTCTTAAGGAATCTTCCTACAATCCTAATGCCACATTCTTCTTCCTATCATCCATCTTCCTGGATTATTTCTTCAGCATACAGATTGAATAAGTATGGTGAAAGCAGGTAATAGAAAATATTTTAAAGGGTAAATAAGTCTTCTCTTCATTACAATTTGCTAAATATTAAAAAATAAATGAATAAATAACTTCTAGCTTTGTTGTTTTGTCTATGAAACTTTTCATCGTGTTGATTTTCTATCTATGTGATGATGATCCCATTGAACAGAACATGAATATAATGATTCCACAGACCTTTACGATGAGCCATGTGTGAGTTTTTTATCTTAAGATTTTTGATAATTCATATAGAATTTTATTATTTAATAATGGAAGCACTCATCTGAAAGAGTTATTGAACATTATTGGTTCTGTTGAAATTATGTTCAAAATACTAAATATATATGCTGCTGTTAAGTGATGTTGAAATGGTTCTGACTTATAGCAACCCTATATAGGGTTTCTGAAGAGTAAATGGTGGGTTTGACCACCAACCTTGAGGCAAGTAGCCCAGTGCTTATCCAACAGCTCCACACCAGGACTCCAAATATATATATATGTTGTTGTTGTTATGTGCCGTGGGTAGTTTCAAACTGCTGACCTTGCAGTTTG